GCTCCTGAGTCTGTCAGAAGGTGAGGCCATTCACCCAGCTAAGCCCAGCTGCTGCTCTGCCTTTGTGCTGACAAGACCCCCATGACCAGTAGGGCAAGGATCAGAGGAGCTGAAACCGGGGATCCTACTCCCTCATTCAGACTAGAGGCTGGGATGGACTCACTGACCCCTATGATTTGGCCCTAAGGGACCCCATTCTTCTTTGAAGAGTGAATGGCCAGGGGACCACGCTCTCTGGGCATGCAGAGAGGCCAGTCCTCACAGCAGCTTCCCACAAGGTGCTCTGAAGATGGAGGGAAAACTAGAGAGGAGAAAGAAAGCCATGGCCCGGCTGGTGTGGCTCAGTGGATTGAGCATCATCCCATGGACTGAGAGGTACCCCTTTGATTCCTGGTCAGGGCACATGCCCGGGTTGTGGGCTCCGTCCCTAGTAGGGGGCATGCAGGAGGCAGCCGATCGATGTATTTCTCTCACATTGATGTTTCTATCTTTCTCCCTTCCTCTCTCTCTCAAGAAAAAAATCAATTAAAAAAAGAAAGCCATGCATGGGGTAAACAGGACAGCCAGGTAACATGTCACACCATCTCTTCTGCCCATGGCCTGGGTGACCCCAGCAAAAAGGCCAGGCTTGGGGAGTGGGCAGAGCAGAGGGGCAGAAAGTTGGTGGAGCATGCAGGGGTGGGCACAGGGCAAGGCAGAGAACCCACTCTGCCTGGGAGTGAAACTCAGATGGATTGTGAGGACAGGAGCAGGAAAGTGGTTTGAGCCCTGGCCGGTGTTGCTCAGTGGTTAGAGTGTCAGCTTGGGCACTAAAGGGTCACAGGTTTGATTCCCGGTGAAGGGCACCTACCTGGGCTGCAGGTTTGATCCCTAGCCTCAGTGGGGGCATGTGTGGGAGGCAACCAATCGATGTGTCTCTCTCACATCAATGTTTCTCTCTCTCTCTCTCTCCACCCCTCCTTTCCTCACTTCCATTCTCTCTAAAAAAATAAAATAAAATCAATGGAAAAAATATCCTCGGGTGAGGATTAACCAAAAAAAAGAAAAGAGGTTTGAGGATGTGCACAATTGGAAACAGAGAACCACCTGCTGCACCAGCATTTCCCAGCCTCCCCTGAGACATCTCCACAGCCTGAGGCCCCTGAGAAACAAGATCCACCTGTGACTAGCCAGTTGGACAGACTGAACAGAGGTACCAGCTCAGCAACCAGCAGGATGGCAGGGTGAGGTCCAGGAGTCCACAGCCGAGGGAGGGCAGGGAGGGCGGGCCGGGCCTTGCCCATCCCCGACTCTCTCCCGATCCAGTGGCGAGAACCCAGCCGGCAGTGTAAGACAACAGAACAGGTGTGCCTCAAACCGCTCTGGGGGAAAATAAAGAATGCCAAGAAGGACTCTCTAAATCCTCACTGCCTGCTCCTAACTGGCACTAGAGACAATGTCACTGAGATTTCTCAACAAGCTCTCTAGACCTTGTCATGATGTCTCTGGTCATGTCATGATGTCTAAGCCCTCAGAGTAAACTCACCTATTAAAAACCAACCAACCAACGTGGAGTCTCATTCAGCTCAGGGGGAGTCCAGAACCATTAGGAGCCGGTTTGGGCCATCTCTGGCACGTCTCTGCAATGTGCATAAGAATGAGCAGCTCTCCTGTTATCTGAGCCTCACCTCAGCCCATCTCCCTTCCTCTGTCATCGCCTAGGGCTGGTGAAGGGGGAACCAGGATGGCTCTGTCCCTATTTCTTACCTCCTCTTGCTGCCTCCCTTTTGCATTAACTTTGAATGTGCTCAGGGACATGCCATGTTGATCTCAAGAGCCAGGTCTCATGGTGAATTTCTCCCCAAGTAACAGATACCCGTCAAAGACAGGCAAACAGGAAGTCCACAGCTTCATGGGGAAAAGCAGAGAACTTCAGAAAGCAGCAGCTCGGGCACAAGGTTAGTCGTCTTCGATCACTTGGGGGAAAAGTATGTCCCTCTCCCCAGGGACCTGTGAGTGGAAACTGCCATCAGTGCAGAATTACCCACTGGGGTGCTTGAGGCTACCCTGTCCATCCTCCTGTTTCCAGACACACAAAATTCTCCAGCGAAAGAAACCATCACCCATCCAACCCCTGAATCTACTAACAACTGAGTTCTCCCAGTTGGTGGTTCTTCATTGTCACCCAAACCCTCTTGTCACAATCGTTTTCTTCACAAGGCTGGAGAACAGATGATCACCTCCCCTCCAACAGACCCATGTGGAGAGATGTTTCCAGTGAGACTACCCAGCCCCTTCTCAGAACTTCTCCCTCCAAGATACAACTTCTCCCTCCATCAACAAGCCTTAGTTCCCAATCTGTGAAGGGCCCAACTAGTTCTGGAGCCAGAGTTAGATAACAGGAAAAAGACATGTCTTTTCCTCTCCTTGGTATCATCACTATCAATCACAGTAACAATAGGCCCTGTTTATGGAGCAGGCACTGTAAGAGCACCCCACACTTAGTCTAGCTCACTTCTCTCCACTTGAAAGCTGGGGAGACAGGCTCACAGAAGCCACAGGACTTGTCCAAGATCACACGACAGGGAGTGGCAGAGCTGGGATTCGAACTGCAGTCTGATTCTGGAAACCTAACCTATTTGCCTCTAGAAGAGAGGGATAGTGCCTTGGCCCCTCCTGGGTCCATAAGGCCTGACAGGAAACCCCCAGAGAGTCCTTGTTCCACAGTGACTCAATGCATGACAGGCAGACGGAGGGGCTGATGCGTGGGTGAGGGTGAGCCCTGCTAACATAACCAGTACCAACTCCGAGATGCACAGGAAGTGGCCGTCTCACCAGCTGAAGCAAGACCTTCCCAGCTGCTGCCCCCTCCATGCTGCCACCAGCCAGAGAGGGTCAGCAATATAGAAATGGATAAAGCCTGGCCCCTTGGATTACTTCACCCTTCCTTCACACCAGAGTCTGCTTTTCTCCAACTCTGGGGAAGCCTCTCTCCCTGAACACTCCATCAGCATGGCACCTGCTCCCAACCCTTTCCTGCCCAGCAGCAGCCCTCCCATTGCATTAAGATAAATGTGCACCGACCGATCACACAGGGAGCTGTCTAAGGAAGAGCTCTGACCACGGCACTCACTGAAAGAGGAGATGCTGCCTTGCCTCTTCCCCTCACCCCAGCACTAGGGCCTTCGTCAGTTTCCCAGCAAGGGCTCCTGGTCCCCAGTGGGTGACTGAAAGGAGCCAGGGCTGTGCTCACGGTGGCTGCCAAGGCTACTGAAGGTGGCAGCCCCTTTCCCTGAGTGCCCAGAGGGCAAGTCGGTTCTAAGAAGGCAGCAAGCAGAAGGACCTGCAGACTCAGAGGCTCATTACAGGGAATGACTAAGTGAGCTGCGATTCCAGGGGAAACCCCACTTGCTTCTGCTTACAGAGGGATTCAAATCCTTGAGCTATTTAGATGAAGGCAGCTTCTAGGAGCTGCTCAGCTGGGCAGCCCCCTGTGAGAAGCCAGGTTCCTGGGGGAAACCCTCCACATGGAAGTCTTGGCACTGGCTAAGAGGTCGTCACACAGGTCTGCCCAGCCCAGGTCTGCCCCAGCCGTTTTCAGAATGGCCAAGTCTGCCCATCCCGTTAGAGCTTGAGGCTGGGAATGGGGGAAATCTGATCAGCACCTCCTAGGTTTTAGTGGCTGGATTTCAACAAGGAATGTGACAGTCTCGCAGCAGCTGTGCCCAGCCTGAAACAAGCTCTATTTGAAACCTCTAACAGCTGAACCCCTCCCAGCTACGGCAGCCTGCCCAGCCACCCCCTGCCCAAAATGACAAATAAGTGAGAAATGCAAGCAACGAGGCACACACACACACGCACACGCACACACACACACCAACAAACTGGGGGTGAGGGATAGATGGGAAAAAATCCACTTGTCCCATGACTCCCCAGGTGTCCAAGCCTTCGAGCCCACAGCAGGCAGAGCACGAACAGAAACCCACCTTCCTCAATCCCCACCGCCTTGGAGGACGCAATTGCCAAGCCCCCTCGGGGAGGGAACCCCATCCTCCGTCTCCTGCTGGACTGAGAGGCTGGAGCCGTGGGGCCAGCTCCCCCACTAAAGCGCGTGCTGCCGGTCTCCATCAGCGCGCACTCGCACCCTGGCGCACACACTCAGCCTTATTTATCCCGGGAGAAGGCGCTGGGGTGGGAGGGGAGAACCAGGGCTGAGCTGGGAGCGGGCTCTCAGGGATGCCTAGGAAGCCCTGTCATCCCATCTGAAGGAGAGGCGCTATACCACCCCCCAGGCTGGTGCCAAGGCGGCGCCCATCTGCTGTGCCCGGGGAACACCTGTAGCCATTTTTATCAGATGTTTATAAGGCAGCAGCAGGTTTATTCTGAGTCCTCTTTCCTGCGGGAAGGAACCGCTGATTTCCTCCACCTATATTTTTATCCCAGGCCCCCAGGAGACTTAGGTCAGGGGTGCTTTTTGATTTTGCCCTAAGTCTCTCAGGAACAAGGAGGGAAACAGAAACTTGGGAGGAGAGGGAGCAGACTGAGAGAAGGGACTGGCATGGAATCCCCACCCCCCACCCAGACATTTATTTCTTTTTTATCCTCGGGAAAATGGAGTGGAGCAAGGAGGGGAGGAGAGGAGGGGAAGTCGCAGAAACTGGCAAGCACATCAAGGCAGAGTGTAATTAATTGGTGCGTTAAGCTGCTGGTTTATGCTTTAGTACCGGTGAGCCAGGAGGAAAAATGATTTCTCCGAAGGGATTCTTTAATCCTCCCTAACACATAGTCTGCAAATTAGACACAGTGTATGGGGATGTCCCCCCACCAAGAAAGCGAGGAATGAATTCTCCCAGGATTAAGAAGGAAAGCCATGGGAAGTTAGAGTGTTCAATATAATTGAGCAACCGCCTCCCACCACCACCACCACCACCTCTCTCCCCAATCTATCTCTTTCGTTCTCTCTCTCTCTCCCCCTATATACTGCTTTTGTTCAAGGTATAAAGAGAAACCATAGCCCCTACCTTTGAGTACAAACCCCAAGACAGCTCGGTCTCTATCACCATAACAACAATTCCAAACATCCCAAAAATCAGAGCATAGTCACTCAGTCGCTTTCTCTTTTCAAACAGGGCCCTCCTGTGTCCCAGCTTATAGCCAATGTTTTGGTTTTTCCGCTTGTTGGCTTTGGGGAAGGTGCTGCTGCTGGGGGTGGTGCCGGCATGCTGGTGGTTGTGGTTGGCATTGGAGTGATGGAGCAGGGTCTGGTGGGCATGGTTGTCCTCCCGGGAGGAGATGACGATCTCTGGGGGGTTGCTGGGGCTGAAGAGCTGGAGGGGTTGGCCCTCAGGCTCAGCCTCGATGAGGTTCCTCCGGGAGGCGCTGAGGCGGCTGAGGGGCTTCATGACCCCACCACTGTACTTGCAGGAGCTCATGGCGATCTCTGTGAAGGGGTTGCTGTCCCGCCGGTGCACTAGGGGGCTGGCCTGCCGGTGCCGGCTGCCTCCACCAGGCCCACTTGTGGCTGTGGAACTTGGAGAGTGGCCAAGCAAGTGGTCATTGAGATTGAGCTGGCTGCCTTGCCTGGAAGAAGGGTGGAGGATGGTGGTGGAGTTGGACAAAGGGGGTGCCCTGAAAGCAGTGGGAGAGGAGTGCAGCAGGCCGGGGTGGATGGGCTGGCTCTGGAGTTGAGCGAGCTGAGACAAGGGATGCGGTGGCTGCTGCTGCTGCTGCTGCTGTTGCTGCTGCTGCTGCTGCTGCTGCTGCTGCTGCTGCTGCTGAGGCTGAGGCTGCAACAGGGGTCCGGGGGGTTGCTGGGGGGCTGCTGGTGGTGCTGGCGGCGGCGGTGGTGGCTGCTGCTGCTGCTGCTGCTCATCCCCAGAGGATGGACAGGGGCACTTGGGGTCTTCATCCAGGTCCCCCACCCCCGAGTCATGGAAGTGCCCAGAAGTGTCCATTTTGGGGCCTGGCTGGATTCCCTGCAGCACAACCCCCCACCCCAAAGCCACCCTTGCTCCAGAGATGTCCTCAAAGAGAGCCAGGCATCCAAGCTCCCCACCAGAGTGTCTTGGCTCCAGTCCTCTCTCTGTGGCTTGTTCCGGCTCTCTGGGTTTCTTGGAGTCCAGACGCTGCCAGTCAAGAATGCATTGTACTGGGCAGGAAGGGAGGGCAGGAGAGAAGCTTGGAGAAAGAAGATGAGGGGAAAAAGAACTCTGTCTCAGGAGGTGGTCCTCTAGGAGCATGCGAGGCCAGGCTCAGCTTAACTCCTCGCTGGCTCAATAGCTTTGCTCTCCTCCTCCTGCCACTGTTATATTGTAAGCCCAGCCCACTTATTAGCAGCTGGTCTCATTGGCTTGGCTTAACTCTCCCACCACCTTCTAACTCCGCCCCCTGGTAGGCTCCGCCCAGGAGGTGGGGCCTGCCGTTCTCCGCTCCCAGACCCGCAGCCGCACTGGGCTGGCTGGGAACTGTAGTTTGCGCTCCCCACAGGGTAGCTGAGCAGCTGCCCCTTTCCTCCGACAGGTAGAAACCGGGAGCCCAAGACAATAAGGGATGTTCGCGCACGCGGGCAATGGGGAGGAGGAGCAGAGGAAGGAAGCTGTGCACCCTTATGCAAGGGCAGGAAGCGGGGGAAGACAAACAGTTATTAATGGCCAGGCTCTACGATAGGTTGTTTCACACATATTATCCATTTACATTCTCCAAACACCCCAGGAGGTGAGCATTATGTTCTTTCTTTACAAACGGATGCTAAGAGACGCTGAGTAACAACTACAAGGTCATAGAAGCAGAGGGGATCCACGTCCTCCTGACTCCAGGTGGATAAGCTCACCTACTGAACGCCTGCAATGTGTGGGCAGGCACCCCTCTGTTATTTCTAACCCTCACATCAACCCTATGAAAATATCATCATTCTCCTTTTTCAGAAGAAAACTGTAAAGACAAAACAAAAAATCACTCAGGCACAGATAAGTAATTTACCAGATGTCACCTAGCTTGTAATTAAGGGTGCTAGGACTTGAACCCAGGTCAGTCTGACCCCACACCTCCTATACCATCTCTCGGGATGCCTTCCCCCTATGTGGCTCAGTGCAAAGTGGTTGCTCCATAAATGTTGCTCAAATGATGGGTGGGAAAGAGCCAGAGCAAAGCTTGGAGGAGTAACCAGACTCCCCAAAGCAAGATGTGTGAAGTGGATCATGGTTCCAGCTGGGCATGGAATCACCAGAGGGTCTGGCAGGAAGACTGAAGACTCCCCATGGTCAGTCCCCACCTGATATGCCCCATGGGGCTTTAAGAGTCAAAGTTGGGAACAGCTGCTGGCTTCCCAGGTTCAGAACCATCATCAAGTATTTATTAAGCTCCCACTGTGTGCAAAGGGAGTTTGAAAGAGATGGGACCAGAGCTGAATTCATTTCCATTTCTATCTGCAGCAGTCCTGCTTCCTCATCAGCCCTTGGCCTCTGCCCAGCTGCTCCCTGGATAGGAAAGGGGAAGAGTAGGAGAGCCACGCATACACACACAGATACACGCATGCAGGTGCACGCATGTACACAGGTGTGCATACACCAGCCCTCAATCATGCGTTGGCCCACATACATGGACGTGCACATATACATGCACACATATGCACACATTCAGTGAGCTTCTAAATCAGCTCTCCTGAATGGTGAGCAGCAAGTGGCCAAATCAGGAAGGGGCAGAGCTCCCATCAAATCAGCCCATAGTACACTCTGTATACCAGTTCACTTTTTTTTAAATCCTCACCTGAAGATCTTTTTCCATTTATTTATTTATTTATTTATTTATTTTTTAGACAGAGTGGAAGGGGGAGTGGAGAGAGAGAGAGAGAAACATCAGTGTGAGAGAGATACATTGACTGGTTGCCTCCTGCACAACCCCAACTGGGGCCGAAATCAAACCTGCAACTACGTGCCCTTGACTGGTAATTGAACACGTGACCCTTTGGTCCAAGGGCCGATGCTCTAACCTCTGACAGGGCAAGTTCTCACCTCTTCAATCTCCTGTCAGCCCTGATGATCGAGAGGTAAATACTACTTCTTATATAAGCACAACCCCAGAAACCTGAATAATTGCAATTACTTACACATAATAATCTTGTTTATTATTATCAATGACATGTTCATTCCTTCTCCTTCCTCCTCTACCACTAGAAGTCATAGCACTGGGACTCAGACACAAGCCTGGGGTTCCATGTGTTTTCCAATGACCACCTACACACACACACACACACACACACACACACACACCTTCAGCCCAAGCTGAAGCCCCTCTCAGCTACGCAGTGACTGTGTGACTTCAGGCAGGATCCTCAGCTTCCCACTCTATGAAATGGGAGCAATAGGGTCCCTACCTCGAGAGGTTTGGGAGGATTAGATGCAAGTCAATGTGAGTGGGCTCTCCCACAGGCCCATATATGATGGCCTTGAAGCCCTCAGTGGTGTGCTAGAGCTGGCTGCTACTGGCTCATAAAAGCCAACTGTGTATATATCTTCCAAGTCCCCACACCCAATGATGTCCACAATGATAGCTTGAAATCAGTGATGGTGAGAGTATTTACACCACAGAAATTGGCAAACACTTCACAGCAGAATTGACCTTTCCTGGCAAGCCAGTTGCTAAACATTTACTGGCTATTAAACATTTACCAGCACACTTCTGTCCTTTATTCCACATCATTATAATGAGCACTCTACCCTCCTCTAACCACTATCCAAGCACTTCCTCTCCTCCCTCCCTCTCACCAGAACAAGCTTTGCCACTTGCTCTCTGTGTGACTTTAGGCCAATTGCTTACCCTCTCAGGACTTTAACTTTCTTAGCTCCAATGAGGTAGCACAGATCAAGTACTTTGTCACTGTAAAGTGCCTAATGGGTTAGTAAATCAACTGAGAGCCACTCAGCCACAGGGCCTAATCATGTCAGGTTTTCCATCCTGCCCTACAGACCCACTGCCTCAAGCCTTTGCCCACTATTGCTGCAGGTCCAATCCTCACTGTTGGGAAGCCCCTGATGCTCCCCCTAGCCGCTAGCTAAAACCACCAATGAGTTGGAGTCATCACTGATGTTATAGATGAGGAAACTGAGACATTAGAAAAGATTAAAATCCTTGCCCACGGGTACTAACTACTAACTTTTGGCATAGCAGGAATCAAACCCAAATCTGTCTGACCCGCAAGCCCAAGCACTTTTCTGAAATGCAGATCAACAGGATTCAATCTTATTGGTATTTATTTAACGTGGCCATGCGACTCACATGGCCAGGCCTCAGGAGTTTATGATCTCACTATAGAGACAAGCTTATGATACTCACATGAGATTCTCAAAGTGTGGTATGGACAACAGAGTTCACCGAAGGCAGAGAGTAGTTAATGAAGGCTTCATGGAGTTGGTCGGATTTTAGCCACACCTTGAAGGATGGGTTCTTCCTTCACACAAATTAGGCCTCTTCAGCCACCTATAAAGATGAAGGCTTAGGAGGTGTGGTGACGTTTCTTAGCTCAGAGAGTACAGGGAAGGCGAACAAGGACATGCTCACCAAACCCAGTAAGGCGAAGGTAGCTTTTGGCCATACCAGCTCCATGTCAGCCAACTTGGCCCCTGGCCTCCTTTCTACACCCATTCTTCCCCATGTCCCTCTTTAAGTTCCAACACCAGCTTCTTATATTTCCTCTGATAAACCACGCTACCTCACACCTCCATGCTTTTGCTCATGTTGTTCCTCTTCCTGGCATGCCCTTCCCCTACATCTTCACCTGCACATTTCTGTTTTTTTTTTTTTTCTTAATTGATGTTAGAAAGAGAGGAAGGGAGAGGGAGAGAGAGACAGAAATATCAATGAGAGACAATATCAATTGGCTGCCTCCTGCACACCCCCCACTGAGGATTTGGCCCACAACCTGGGCATGTGCCCTGACTGGGAATCAAACCAGTCAAATCAAATCTTGGTGCACAGGTCGACACTCAACCACTGAGCCTCCCTCAAATTCCCCAAATCCAGATTAGGGTGCTTCTTCTATATTTTCAGTACCTGGTGCTCACCTCTATTCCTATCTTTATTAAACAGTACAGTTGTTATCCCTGTATGTCCTGTTCCCCTAGACCTAGACTATGACTGACTTGAGGGCAGAAATGATACCTGTTCCAGCACTGTATCTGCAGATCTTGCAGAGAGCCTGGCATCTAATAGATGCTTAATAAAGACTGATTGAACTGAACTGAATTTGAAACCTGGGAGAGGTTATTTAGAGGCAAATAAGAGGAAGTAGTTGTACTTTCAACAACAAATAATAACCACAATTCCCCCATCAGTAAAATGAATGACATAGAAAAGATGATTCCTAGGATCACTCAGCTTTAAAATCCATATCTGTGGTCTGTGGAACTCGTTGCCCCCAAAGGTAGAACGAACTGAAAATGGGTTTAAGAAGAGGAATGATCTGTGGTTTATATGGTTGTCTTTCCCACTAGGCTGTGAACTCCTCAAGCACAGAGAAGGAGTCTAATTTTCTTCTGTATCCCCAGCACTGAGCAGAGTGCCTGGTCAGGGAAACAGTCATTAAAGGTTTATTAGAGCCCTGGTCAGTTTGGCTCAGCGGTTGGAGCGTCCGCCTGCGGTCCGGAGAGACCCGGGTTCGGTTCCCGCTAAGGGCACGTACTTCGGTTGCAGTTTGTCCCCAGCCCTGGTTGGTCGTGCGGGTGGCAGCCACTCGATGTGTCCCTTTCACATTGATGTTTCTCTCTCTCTCTCCCTTCCTCTCTCTCCCTCCCACTCTATCTGTACAAAAAATGGAAAAATGTCCTCGGGTGAGGATAAAAAAAAAAAGGTTTATTAGATGGATAGATGGATGGATGGATGGATGGATGGATGGATGGATGGATGGATGATGCATATATGGATAGAAGGGTAGGTGATGGATCAGTGCCTGAGTGGATGG